TTTGATCTGATCTGATCAAAATTTTAACACTTAAAGATCGACGATCAGGTGTTGCGTTCTTTTTGGGAGACGGTGTAGGCTAAAAGAATAAATCCAGTCATTAAGAGTGATAATATTTAGATATTCAAATATAATATCTTCCAATACCTTGCACTTCTCTCGGTAATATTTTTTTGGATTCTATATATCTGTTTTAGTTTGGGAAACTGGTGGATAATTTACCAATTTTCTTATCTTTCTCAGCTTTATCCAGAGAAGAGATACGAGATTAATAATGCACATTTAAGCCAGCATGCTTGTTTTCTAATTGATGTTTAAATTATTGAGTTGTCTGTTTAATATTTATCAGGGATTTATTATATTCACTTTCCAGGCAAACCTTAAGTTCCTCATATTCATCTATTAGACGTTGACGTTTCTCATTAACTTGGGCTTCATTAATACGTATTCCTTTTGTTCTAGTAAAGCAAGTCTCAGCTCCTTTAATTACTTCTTAATCCATATAATCTGGATAAAGTATTGGCGCCTTTCAGAGTAGAATAAACATTAATTTTAAGATACGGTCAAACTTTCTTCTTGGTACGGTTTAGCTATTAACCTCCCTAATAGCCTGCTCCTAAAATAGTGGTTTATTTTGCGGGTTGTAATAACATCCTTTTTAATAGACGGGGTAATTGCTCACGCAAGTTCTTAAAGTGCTCATTAAAATGTGGAGCCTCATAAGCTGCTTATATGCCAATTATAGACAAATATAGAAAACTCCCAGAAAAAAATCACAGGCATGCCATACTGTCCCAGAAATTCGAGTATCCCATGTTTCCAGTAAAATTTTCCGCCGAGAACTAGATTCCGGGAAAAAAATATATTCAACTTTATATTCGAAAAAAGATAGTTGTCAGATGCACAGACGCCCAGTACTAAATTTATTTATTTAAGCACTCATACACATGAATTAAAAGAGATGTGGACAAACCTTTATTTTCTTTCACTTTGATGCGCAGCATGCATGTCACGGCGCGGTAACCTTACTTACGCATTCGCACAATTGCGAAGATATCGATGCTGTAAATTTCTTAAAAGGAAGCGTTAAAAAATATAATTAAAATATAAATAATTACGTATTGCACTCTAAGTAAAATCCAATATTAGAAGTTTGTTTTGCTAACAGCTCTGCCTTCAAGAGTTTACAGTATACTGTACCCAAGATCCCTAAATTGATAAAAAAAAAATAGGTTGCAGCTTTGTGCCTCTGGTGAGAAAAATGAATGATGTTTTAATGTTACCCAACACACATTTAAGAATTGTTCATTAATTGATGTTTCACTAATTTTATTCCGAATCAAATGAGTCAATTTTATTGTGAAACTTCTTAGAAATACAAATAAAAATATATAAATCAAGTCAACTCTTTTTAGCGCTAATTTATAGTATAACCTTTTACGTTTTAAGAATCAAATTCACCTAGGTTTTTTGCTGGTTCATTGCCTGTATTTAGATGGTTAATATCAGAGTTTGAATATGATATGCTGTACATTCGACATTGGGAGACAAGACTACTTACTAGCTGAAGAAGCGGAATGTGTATTGGCAACTTGTTTGGTAGCTTCTTGACAATTTGTACTCCAGAGATCATACGGTATACCACTAAAAGCGGCATTTTTGAGTTGGCCGAGAGTAACACCTTCTTTACAATGATGAAATTCGTCGAGTCTCCATACCCCGTGGCCCTTTTCTGTTATTTTAATAATGTCCGTTGATTCTTTAGGATTTTTAGACTTTACCCGTTCAATCAGATATTGAGCGCCATCATAGGTGTTGGCTTTGATTGCAGAATGTCTGGCAACAGTTCCTAGGGTCTTTAGACTCAAGTCACCTTGGTGATCAATTTCACGAGAGACTTCTGAAAAATATAGGACGAGCTTGTCTAAAAGAAAAGCATTTATCTCAAAATTTGACCGAGTGTTTTCTTGCGTTCTCGTGCGACTAATTAGCACAATACACACTTAAAGTTTCTTCTTCTGTCTGAGAATACGCATCATCTTTTCTTGATTTTTTTTTCATTTCGAATACGTAGAATAATTTGAGACTTTGAAAGTCAATGTAACTCAAACTTAATCACAAAATATTTATTTGCATTTTTAAAATGAATACAAATCAGCGCATTCAATACCGAATAGGAAACTCGTTTGAAAGGACAGCTACTGTAATGGTATAGTAATACGTTGATCTGCTAAAAATAAACGTACCGCAGTTGACTGGCTCGCCTAATTCAATGATATTAATTAATTTGTTCGCAAATTTATAAGAAAATTATATTAATAATTGCAGATCGCATGAGTAGGAGGGATTCGTTTGAACCTATTTCTTCTTCGATTATACAATAAAAATTTATTAAAAATCTACTTTTTCTTGATGTTGCAGAAGGTAATAAAATAAGGTAATTTTTTTCGTTCAATTTTGTTTCACTTTACGAAGCGGGCAAAAAATCGATTAATAAAATTCGTTTTGTAGCTACTAAAAATCAAAGAATTTATTTCAAATATTCATCCACAACAATTAATAATGAAATTGAGGACCTCCGAATTATTACAGACGATCGCATAAAACATTAGAACTAGAGATGGGTGAGAAAAATTTTTTACTATCTATATTTGTGCTATGAGAACATCAATGGTGGTGATGGATCATAATCATCACTTCTATTCTAACAAACCTTTTTGGCAATCTCAATCTTTTGCGCATCGACATTTTAAATAATTCTTTTTCGGTCATTATCGTCGATTAGGTCTGCCATTCTGTCCTCGACCTCTTCGGGTATAAATCAAAGAAATCTTTTCTTCTTTTTAAGTGGTTCGGGCAGATTTACTTGATATGTAACAAGTTTTCCCATTTCTCCATGAATAAATTTCCTTTCATCAAGTGCAAACTCTATAATTATCGCCAAAGCAATACGGCAATCATTAATTTTAGATGATGCTAAATATTGGTGGTTCTCTGTCTTCATAAAAAAATAAATAGTCCAGTTATCATTACAATCAGTTAAGACAGACACAGATTTTGTAGCAGATCTATTATCAACTATGAATAATTCTCCGATAGCTTGACCCTCTTTAAAATCCTCCTTCTTTTT